AGTTATATTTGTTGGAAGAACTTGTTGTTGGAAGCCATTAAGAAACAAATTAAGCATGTTGATGTAAGAAATCTTTAGAGTTTAAACTCAAATATTAAATAATCGGAGTTGCAATTCGTCTGCGTGGCCACTGTCAGGCTGAAATGCGCGACTATGCGGTGCCAAGGTCACGCTTGCCAAACATGCGTTAGGTCATGCCCATGTCATGACCTCACGTCTGTCTTATGTGTGCAGACTACAGACTACTGCTTCAGACTCATGTTGCAGTCTACAGACTACTGCTGCAGACTCATGTTGCAGTCTACAGATTACTGCTGCAAACTCATGTTGCAGACTACAGACTACTGCTGCAGACTACATGCAGACTACTGCTGCAAACTCTTGTTGTAGTCTACAGACTACTGCTGCAAACTCTTGTTGTAGTCTACAGACTACTGCTGCAAACTCATGTTGCAGACTACAGACTACTGCTGCAAACTCTTGTTGTAGTCTACAGACTACTGCTGCAAACTCTTGTTGTAGTCTACAGACTACTGCTGCAAACACTTGTTGCAGTCTACAGACTCTGTCTCTTATACACATCTNTCAGGAACGTTTATGTCGTCAGGAACGTTTATGTCGTCTGGAACGTTTATGTCATCAGGAACGTTTATGTCATCAGGATCGTTTATGTCGTCATGACAGTTACGAGTCAGTTTATGACAAGTTGTTAACACTCATCGTACGTGAGCTACGTTGCTGGCATTATGATCCACGTTATCGACACGCTATATTCAGGTGCATACTTGAGGATTTTAGGTTTTGGGCTCGCCCTCCTACTTGTCTAAGTAGAAGCCCTCATTTACACCCCCCCTCCTCCTAAGTAGAAGTAGAAGCCCTCCTTTACCCCCCCCCCTTTTAAGTAGAAGTATAAGCCCTCCTTTACCCTCCCCCATCCTAAGTAGAAGTAGAAGTTGTAATGCGAACAAGGGGCGTATATCTGCGCGCCTCGAACACGCTTCCGCTCGCTGCGCATGACAAACTTGAATGACACTCACGGCTTCATGACACCTGGAACTAGTGTAAGAACTTGCCTGCCACTGCCAGCATCTGCGTCATTAGTTACGCGATCAACATCACAAATTATACAATGAGCATCGCTAGTAACAGTTTAAGTATCACTAGTGACAGGTTAAGCGGCGCTAGTGACAGTTTAAGCGTCGCTAGTGACAGTTTAAGTGTCACTAGTGACAGTTTAATCGTCACTAGTGACAGTTTAATCGTCACTAGTGACAGTTTAAGCGTCACTAGTGACAGGTTAAGCGTCACTAGTGCCTGGACTCACCACTAGGCGTCACTAGTGACCGGAAGGAAGGTCAGGTCCGCAGGTCAGGGCGCCGGAAGCCCTCGCGTGTCCGCCGCTCTCCGAGTTTCAGAAATTTTCGCGGATGCCGAGGCGTTCGCCGCGGAAATGAGTGACGGTAATATTGCGGATTGATGGTCATATGGAAATAATTCATGTCATCTGTAGCATGTCATATTAAACGGGGATATCGGCGTTTGAGGATGAATATATGTTCATGAATTTATATTGCTCTGTTTGAGTATAAATTTAAATGTCTTCATTCTGAATTAGCGTTATAACTTCGGTATAATTTAAACATTTGGTTAGTTTTTTCCCCGTGATTAAGTGAATAATCCCCACCTTGGCAGAATCTAATGTAACAGTTGATTGATTTTTTTTTATGGTTGGATAGAAAATTATCTGAAGGGTCGGATGAGAACAAGAGTTACTATGAAAATAACGTAAAATAAAAGCTACGTACACTCGTGACCATCCGTGATTGTAGCTGTTAGTAGTAACGGTGGAGGTTCATTTACGATTTTTTACGTGGTTTACGTGTGTAGTTTATAATACTTATATTATATATTTATTATCGTGTTGTTTTTTACACAATCTCCTTAAAAGCCCTGCACTCGTTTCTTCCCTCCCCCCTCTGTAGGGGTGGGTGTGTGGCATTCCAGTGCTCGTATATGTATAAAAAATCCATATAAGTGCCCTTATACATACATTTATTCATGCCCATATACGTGCCCGTAGACATGCCCATGAAACAAACCATTATAATTGCACCGCCTTAAATAGCGCTGTGTAGAACAGCGAGTCTGAGTCATCTCCACGCGCCGTGCGTCGTGTCTACACGCGTCATGCGTCGTGTCTCCACGCGTCATGCGTCGTGTCTCCACGCGTCATGCGTCGTGTCTCCACGCGCCATGCGTCGTGTCTCCACGCGTCATGCGTCGTGTCTCCACGCGNTGCCGTGAGCAGCAGCAGATGCCGTGAGCAGCAGCAGATGCCGTGAGCAGCAGCAGATGCCGTGAGCAGCAGCAGATGCCGTGAGCAGCAGCAGATGCCGTGAGCAGCAGCAGATGCCGTGAGCAGCAGCAGATGCCGTGAGCAGCAGCAGATGCCGTGAGCAGCAGATGGCCGGCATCTGATAGCAGGGCCAGGTGTAGGTGAGCGTACGGCAGCGAAAGCTTCGCCCGCGCAGCTGCTTGCTGCTGCTGCTGCTGCTGCCGCTGCTGCTGCTGCTGCTGTTGCTGTTGCTGCTGCTACAGCTGCTCAGCTGCGGCCGGGAAAGCTGCTTCGGCTGCTGCTGCTGCTGCGGCTGCAGCTGTCTTGAGTGACGTCATACGAACGATGATATCACAGTGAAATTATTTTTGAGATCGTGCGCTGACTGATGACGTCAGCCTGTGGCTGGCAAAGTAACGTCATGAGACTGAGCGACGCGCGTCACGCGAGCACGTCGCGCTAGCGTCACTTTCTCATTTCTCGCCTTTCCCACGCCGGTATTTCACTTTCTGCCTCCTTTCCTCTGCACCTTTCCTCTGTCTCCTTTCCTCTGCTCCTTTCCCCTGCTCCTGTCTACTGCTTCTTTCCTCTGCTCCTTGCTTCTGTCTCCTTGCCTCTGCTTCTTCTCCTGTCCTTATCGAAAAATCGTTTTAATATCTCTTTCATATTCTGTTTCATTTATTTCTCAGTTCTACTTAATCCACAATTTTTCTTTGAAAAATTTCCAACTTTCTTCTCGTATTGAAATACTCTTGTGGTCTTTTATTTTGTACTTGGTCAGTTTATGTGATGAGTACTTTTTGATGCCGCGTGCAGCACTTGACGTGTAGCATCAGATGCCACGTGCAGCACTTGACGTGTAGCAGCAGATGCCGTGAGCAGCACTTGACGTGTAGCAGCAGATGCCGCGTGCAGCACTTGACGTGTAGCAGCAGATGCCGCGTGCAGCACTTGACGTGTAGCAGCAGATGCCGCGTGCAGCACTTGACGTGTAGCAGCAGATGCCGCGTGCAGCACTTGACGTGTAGCAGCAGATGCCGCGTGCAGCACTTGACGTGTAGCAGCAGATGCCGCGTGCAGCACTTGACGTGTAGCAGCAGATGCCGCGTGCAGCACTTGACGTGTAGCAGCAGATGCCGCGTGCAGCACTTGACGTGTAGCAGCAGATGCCGCGTGCAGCACTTGACGTGTAGCAGCAGATGCCGCGTGCAGCACTTGACGTGTAGCAGCAGATGCCGCGTGCAGCACTTGACGTGTAGCAGCAGATGCCGCGTGCAGCACTTGACGTGTAGCAGCAGATGCCGCGTGCAGCACTTGACGTGTAGCAGCAGATGCCGCGTGCAGCACTTGACGTGTAGCAGCAGATGCCGCGTGCAGCACTTGACGTGTAGCAGCAGATGCCGCGTGCAGCACTTGACGTGTAGCAGCAGATGCCGCGTGCAGCACTTGACGTGTAGCAGCAGATGCCGCGTGCAGCACTTGACGTGTAGCAGCAGATGCCGCGTGCAGCACTTGACGTGTAGCAGCAGATGCCGCGTGCAGCACTTGACGTGTAGCAGCAGATGCCGCGTGCAGCACTTGACGTGTAGCAGCAGATGCCGCGTGCAGCACTTGACGTGTAGCAGCAGATGCCGCGTGCAGCACTTGACGTGTAGCAGCAGATGCCGCGTGCAGCACTTGACGTGTAGCAGCAGATGCCGCGTGCAGCACTTGACGTGTAGCAGCAGATGCCGCGTGCAGCACTTGACGTGTAGCAGCAGATGCCGCGTGCAGCACTTGACGTGTAGCAGCAGATGCCGCGTGCAGCACTTGACGTGTAGCAGCAGATGCCGCGTGCAGCACTTGACGTGTAGCAGCAGATGCCGCGTGCAGCACTTGACGTGTAGCAGCAGATGCCGCGTGCAGCACTTGACGTGTAGCAGCAGATGCCGCGTGCAGCACTTGACGTGTAGCAGCAGATGCCGCGTGCAGCACTTGACGTGTAGCAGCAGATGCCGCGTGCAGCACTTGACGTGTAGCAGCAGATGCCGCGTGCAGCACTTGACGTGTAGCAGCAGATGCCGCGTGCAGCACTTGACNATCGCTGCTGCTGTTACATCACTGCTGCTGTCACATCGCTGCTGCTGTCACATCGCTGCTGCTGTCACATCACTGCTGCTGTCACATCGCTGCTGCTGTCGTATCGCTGCTGCTGTTACATCGCTGCTGCTGTTGTATCGCTGCTGCTGTTGTATCGCTGCTGCTGTTACAGCTACCGCCGCTGCAAGTTGTCCCCTTAATTGGTGCTGGTGCATCTTCCACAGATCTTCTTATCTGTACTCACTTGCTCTGCCCCATACATTTCCATTGACACGCACTGACTCTGCATTTGATAATTTATTTGGCTGTGTTTCATTAAATATATTTTCTCCTATGTTATTATTAGTCGCATTTATCAATTTGCTTCCCATTGGTAGATATTCTTATCCTCCTTAAATTCCCATCAAGGTCACTCTAGCGTGTTATAGATTTATGTACATTTCTACCTTTGTAATCTTCATTCTCCTTAATTTAAGCCACTCGTTAATCATTCGATCATCAACCATTTTGTAATCCTCATTATATTTAATTTCAGGCATTAATGATTATTTCAAGCATTAACCATTATCCTGATGTGTCCCCACAGAGGGCTGCTCGTCCCGGTCCACGCCCCGTCCCCGGCCGCTGTCCCCAACACTGAGGCCCAACATCACCTTCCAGACGTACGCGTGTCCCCCAGCATACGCTGCCTGGTATTGCCTCAACGGCGCTACCTGCTTCACCGTCAAGATCGCAGAGTCTATCCTCTACAACTGCGAGTGAGTCTTGCCCATTGGCATTTATATTAAGTGGGTTGATTTGGTGTCTTATTTGGATTGATGTTTATCCTCTTTTATCCTCTACAACTGCGAGGGAGTCTTGCCTCTTGGCATTTATATTAAATGGATTGATTTGGTGTCTTATTTGGATTTATGTTCATTATCTACAACTGCGAGTGAGTCTTGCCCATTGCCATTTATATTAAGTGGATTGATTTTGTGTCTTATTTGGATTTATGTTTACCCTCTACAACTGCGAGTGAGTCTTGCCTCTTGGCATTTATATTAAGTGGATTGATTTGGTGTCTTATTTGGATTGATATTCATCATCTACAACTGCGAGTGAGTCTTGCCTCTTGGCATTTATATTAAATGGATTGATTTGGTGTCTTATTTGGATTGATATTCATTATCTACAACTGCGAGTGAGTCTTGCCTCTTGGCATTTATATTAAGTGGATTGATTTGGTGTCTTATTTGGATTGATATTCATCATCTACAACTGCGAGTGAGTCTTGCCTCTTGGCACTTATATTGAGTGGATTGATTTGGTGTCTTATTTGGATTGATATTCATCATCTACAACTGCGAGGGAGTCTTGGCTAGAGTATTTATTTCAAGAAGAATGGTTTGATGTCATTTTTCGATTGATGTGCCAGAAATGGTTCATTCTTTACAACTGTAGATAGTTGTTAAACGCTAAATTTATAGTATATGTTTTGACCTTAATGCCTCATTGCCCCTTATGGCATTATTTCTGTCATATCGAGTGGAAACCCTAAATTTAATGCAAATAAATACTTATACAATATCAGATAAACATGAAACTCGGTCAGAGAAAGAACATTTCTGAAGCGAATGAATTTAAAAGTTCTCTTAACCCTCCATGCCGCCTGACATGAGTAACCGGAGCAATATTGTCACGCGCCTACTTCCCAAAAAGGATACGTTCTAGTGAGCGCAAAATGACTTGCACTGATGGTTGCCGCCACGTACGACAACTTTAAAATGTTCTCTGTTGCGTACAAATGTTCTCAGGTTGCTACACTCAATAGTTTACGTATAATTTAAGTTGAGAGTTATGTTTCCGGAGAGTGACATATGGCGATAGAGGGTTGAATAGTTTTGAGATTAATTTCATCTGTTCGTTAAAAATTATAACAAAACACATTAATTTCAATGACATTTGGTCTGATAATAATTGATATGACCATCTTGTTAATAAAGTCAAGTGATCACGAAACAACTGTGGTCGGCGTAAACACATTTCCTTCACCTGTGTGGTGTCTGCGGGTGGCTTGTGGTTGAGACTCAAGGTGTCAGCTTAATTATCTGTTACTGGGATTAAAGTTTCGCACTGCTGTAACCTACTGTAACAGGCTCACTTAATTACATGGGGCAATTGGTTAATTGTAACTTTCTTTGATTGAAGTAAAGTAAAGTAAAGAAGGATTTTTAAATGATGTAGAAGTAAAAAAAATTTGAATCAATGAGTGAACGTTGTATATTTTCTTTGGTTCATCATGAAATATTGTAAGAAATTTACTCCGAGATGTTTCAAAAGAGGCAAAGTACGTTCCCAGTTGCGTGTGCTTGTGCTATAACAGCCTGGTATTACATCGTGCAAAGCACTAGTACATTACCATCGATCTTTACGTGCAATAAATTACGATCGCAGATGAGGTTGTTAGTGATCAACCCTGCCCAGGTACGTCAGTCTCAGGAGTACTGGGAGAGGCGTGTAGCTCATGGCGTCGGCTTATCTCTACATCTCCATTTTGATGTAATGAGCTTACTAATCCCGTGCTTAGGCCTTAGGCTCTGGTCGGTCGTTACTAACGAGCTGTCCTCGCAGAGATTCACGTAGCGACTGGTTTGTATTACTACACTTGATGAAAGCTGAAATGCAGATCATATTCTTTTGAATAGGTAAATTAGCTTCGGTGTTGAATTTTTTTAATTGAGTACGTAATTGAATTGACTCGAGTTTGGGAAATTGGATTTCTTCAAATTTGCATCTCGATGTTATGAATTTTGTGCAGTCATATTTGCCTTCATTAAAGTACTGCCAAAATTGTTCTTTGTTCACGCGTGATATCATAATGCCTTTTTGCGGCGAGCATTGTTGTCGCGCTGAAACTCTCTCTTCGTTTTCAATCTTGGCTTGTACATCGGTGTCCAACTAACGGCCGTCGAATGGTCAACGTTAGTCCAACCAAGATGCGTAATTGGACAAGATCTGCGTGACTGCTATGGACAATTTTCCGTCCTAAATCCCGGAACATGGGATTGTTTCCTGGACTCTGGAAGGATTAACTCTCACCCCATCTGCCATTATCGTTAACTTTGCTCTGCTTCAGGCGTGCGTTTGAAGGGCTTGCCGTGTAGGCTTCTTCATTTGAACATTTAATTTATAGAAAATAATTTGTCATTTGCCTTTTGAAATGAAACGGGCTACATTTTGGCAAAAACTTATGCATAACCTAACGTTTGACGACAATGCATGCCTTTTCATCATTTAGTATGAGGCGTTGTTGGTTAAAAAAATGATAAGTTGCTCGCCTCTTCCTCAGAAGACTTTTTGGAATCTATTGACACCTCTGTCGTTGCACTCGTAGCTATTCTTCATATTTGTACTATGCAATTGTCCTTGGCACCCTATATATGTTCATTGTCTTTCTTTTAATTCTTTAGTGATACGTTCCCTTATTGGAAACTTTATGCATCCATTCTCTTGTGATACGTTTCTTTTTGGAACTTGATGCATTCATTCTCTTGTGATACGTTTCTTTTTGGAACTTGATGCATTCATTTTCTTGTGATACGTTTCTTTTTTGGAACTTGATGCATTCATTCTCTTGTGATACGTTTCTTTTTTGAAAATTGATGCATTCATTCTCTTGTGATACGTTTCTTTTTTGAAACTTGATGCATTCGTTCTCTTGTGATACGTTTTTTTTTTGGAACTTGATACATTCAATTCTCTTGTGATACGTTTCTTTTTTTTGGAACTTGATGCATTTATTCTCTTGTGATACGTTTCTTTTTTGGAACTTGATGCGTTGATTCTTGTGGTAGTTTTTTTTTAACTTGATGCGTTGGCTCTTGTAATACGTTTCGTAGAAATGAAGCCTGCAACATAGAAGACTATTAGGCACGAGCGACGGCTGGGGATGGATGGGGTATAGGCATGTATGCGTAATTATGGATATGAAGAGCAAGCATGGCGCTCATGAGGTTCAATGGGTGGGACGAACATGGATGACGTCTCATGGGCGTGGGAGAGGCAGGACTGTGGGTGGCCTCATGTACTTTACTGGCGCTCTGGGAAAACTGTGCCTCAATAATCTGGATTTCTCGTTTGAATTTCCGATGTGAAATCGTTTCAAAATCCGACGTGTTTCCAGCTTCTTGATTTGAATGAGACAAAATTGTAACAAAATTATTTATCGTTTGATTTGTATATATTAACAGGTGACGAAATGATCTGGGATGAAATTGCATTTCGTTTAGCATTGCCTATTTTAATCTGCTCTCGTGTTTGGAATAATGGAAAATAGCTCAACATTTTCGAAATGGTTTTGAGGCGTTCGAGGAGGGCTGGAGCTGCTATAATTTGGCAGCTGGGATTCCTTAGGCCTAAACTAGGCCTCCTGCAGTTCCTTCTGTTGTTGCGTTGTATCGCATTTCCTATTGGCGCTCCTCCAGTAACAGCGCGTTTCTGCCCCTGTTATTGAAGCTGTTGTTGCTATTTGCTGCTGGTGCTAGTGAAATATTGCTGATTTGCTGCATTGTTTTCACATAAGTTTTTGTTCCCCCAACTTCAAGGATTCGCGACTGGTCTATTATCGGTAATACTGATTACTTATGCTTCAAGCACAAGTAGAGAAAAAACATAGTTTGTGACCAAAATATCAAGTTATTTTGTTTGAAAAAAAAAACATATATTTTATTTCTATTCAAAAAATGTTTACCTTATTGATCGAAAATAATATTTTTATGTCCTACACGATGCGTTGCTCAAAGATTCCAGTGCAAGACTTGGTATAAATCCGTTTAAAGTCAGGGTACAAAATTGTCACATACAACAGGTTTTATTGTTAGCCTGTCATGTCATGGGATCAGCTCCTCAGCGTTCATAGGACGGCTTCTTTGAGTTCACTGGAGGATTGTTTGAATCTCTTGTCGATTGAGGCTATGATTTTTTTCTTACATTCATGTTCATTGATGCCTCGATCGGCTGTTCTCTCCAAATACCCTGGAGTAAAATCGATCAAGTGATAGTTTTGTAGTCGAAAATACCAAGATATAATTTTTTGTGTAGAAATACCTAGTGATTATTTTGTAGTTTTACAAGTACTAAGTTGAGGCATTTGTAGGTTGGTAACCTTAGGATACAGCACTTGGCACCTGAATGTATGCTAGACTATACAAGTGTTGAATACGTAACTTATTGTTACATGCATAACCTTTTTTGAGCCATTTCTTATACATATATTAGGAAAATTTTAGTTTAAATTCATGGGTTTAAAAAGCAGCGTTTTTTCTATTCGCTTAGAAAGAATGCTGGGCTAGGCAGTCTTGCTGCATATTCATAATGATAGACTCTCATTAGTTAAATAATCTTGTGGTGATTGCGTTATGTCTGAAAAATTCATGTCAAGTTTATATCAATCATCTCGAATTATTTAGAAACACAGATTCTCAAATAGGCTTTCTAATAGTGACTTTTTGCCTTTATAACGTTAAAATTATATTGGATTTATTCAATAGTCCTATGTTTTGGTAAATTTCGTTTTAATAATTGTTTTGAAATTATGATCATCTTTGGCATTCTTAGAATGTGGAGCGAGCCGTTGTCACGTAGTCACTTGATGAATTATCCTGAATAGCTTTCAACTCAGGACATGCTTAGCGGCTCGCACGGGCTGGTGTCACGCGTGCGTGTCACGGGCTGGTGTCACGCGTGCGTGTCACGGGCTGGTGTCACGCGTGCGTGTCACGGGCTGGTGTCACGCGTGCGTGTCATGGGCTGGTGTCACGCGTGCGTGTCATCAAACGCTTGTAATTGACTATAGCCGCAGAATTGAAGGTCAAAGCGTGCAGGTCAGTGAGTGTGTTCTGCTATTAATCTAACTGGATGACCTTGCTGGGGCACGACTGTAAGTTGGGCATTTATTAAAGATATTACTGTTATTAAATGCAGTCTGTGCAGCAGTTATGTAAATTTGACGTGGATAAGTACAGAAAAAATATGCAGGTCAATCTTTTGAAGAATGGCATTTACGAATAAAATTAAGCACGTATAGTTCTTGATATCGCTACCAGTCTGAAAGGCCACATGCCAAGCATCTAACTATTTCTGCGCATAAAGCTGTTAGCTTTTGGTAATAGGCCATTGAACACTTTTTACTTTATTCATTATTTAATTTTTTAAGGTCTTGATGTGACGGCTGGTTAAAGATTAAACTTGACCACAAGTTACGTCACGACCACTTCTATTTTGGTTGCCGTATTCACAGAGCAAATGACACCGCCCTAATTACCTTCGTGGTTCTTGCGTCACGTCGCCCGCGTCCGGAGCGGATCGATGGTCACAGATCCGCGTTTTAGGTTTGGTCGCGGCCGCGTGGGAGGATGGCTATTCTGCTCCGTGCAATCTCATTACAAGACTCTGACGTACAACGGCCTTTACAATGTAAACTAGTGACATAGCCTGCGCTTTGTCACGTACGGTGTGCCTTGTTTACTACGCATACGGAACCTGAGTATTAGATTAAAAATTAATTCAACTCCTATTTATAAACGTAAGATCCTTTCTGTGCCTTCATTCATATAATACATATTTTTAAATTGAAAATTTAAATTAAATTAAATTCAGTCAGACATAGTAAATTTGTGGTGATCAATATAGATTTCTAAATTTAGCTTCGTGGTTTGGCTGAAAATAATTTCGCCTACCTCCGACAAGAAGCCTTGAAAAGATGCTCTTTGAAAGCAGTTGACAATAGGGTTTTGTGACATGCGATGCGGGATTTTTAATAACATAACATAGCGATTTCGGCGACAGAGTTTCAATGCGAAATTTCAATGCGGGATGTATAATGCAAAGTTTCAATTGTTTTCAGGGAAACAAATTCGTGATTAAGTTTGTTATGTTCATAACCAGATGTATTGTTCTTTTGAGCCCCGAATGAGATTTTTGATCCAGCTCATCGTGGTGCATGATGTAGTATTTTGAAGCCAGGCTTTCCCATGGGCCTGAGAATTTCAGTTTCAACTGCTAGCCTTGTTGTGACTTTTATGAGGACTCATATTGTTGATTGAACATCCTTAAATTTAGGCAAATTGGTCTAAAGCTTTTTTTATCGTGATTTCATGGTACAGATGACAAACTTACGGGTATAGCTCATTATTACTGAGATTGAGTGATAGTAAGATATAATAATCATTGGCATTATCTGCATTGTGAAGGACCTTCACTGATTTTCCGAAATGTTATTAACTCCGCATACGCTGGAAAAATATTTTTGTGTTCAAATTTTACAAGTGCTTCGAAAGTTTCTAAAAATTTTCAGATGAGCCATGCAATTTTACCTATTTAATTTATTTCATTATAAGATCATTTACTTTTTTATTATTAGATTTCTGCACTGGCTTGACTACCTTAGTCATTTTAGCTTAGCTCTTAAAAATCATGCCGGAATTTCCACGGGCGCCGTGGCCCGGAATGTCCACCTGCTAGTTGACGTAATCCAGCGTTGCGGACAAACCTCATGCGCGACTCCGGCGACAAAAAAGGCAAATTTTTGTTTTGTGATTGTGGAAATTTTTGGTCTGAACTTACCAGTGTGGGGACGACGCCGAATAATGCGTAATGCACCGAGTTTCAAAAGCCTTTTGTGTGTTGTTGTCTTTGAAATTTAGTGAATTTATCTATTCTTTAAATTCACGATGGTGATGAAGTCAAAATTACAATGACATTTCATTCATTTACGAGTCAAAATCCTGAGAACATTTTGTTACCTAGATATTTCGAACCTTTCCCCTTTATTTTCAACGCGTGTCAATTGCGGATATTTTTATTTCTTTCTATTTTACAAAAGGATTCATTTTAATCTCGCGATTTTTTATTTCTCCGGTATTTGCTTGCGTGGCTGTGTATGTTATTTGTACGTGTGTTCTGTTACTTACTCCTTATGTTGCATGCAATTTTTCGAGACTCTTTCAGTTTTTGATTCGAGAATAAATGTTTATACCTACCACAAATTTTTCAATGCACTGTACGGCTACGTATCTCAGCACATTGACGCCTGTTGAAAAGGGCTGTTACTTTTGTCGTGACATCACCTTATACGAGGTTATAATTTTGACTATATCACCTCGTAATTAATTNCATCACCTTATACGAGGTTATAATTTTGACTACGTATATCACCTCTTACTTAATTTTGACTTTATCACCTTTTTTTAATTTGTTGTCTTTAAAATTTAGTGGATTTATCTATTCTGCATTCATGGATGACGACATACATGGCTATTTGTTATGTTAGAAATGTTATTTTTTCTAAATTAATTCCCAAGTTTATAAAAAATATCAAATTCTAAACGAACATTTTCAATGTGTAACTTATTTTCTTAATACTTACTATGTTGTATTTATAAAATTATTCATTTTATACAATTTATTTTTATTTTGTAGTAATATTCATTCAGGCGAATTTCTTCGGTATCAAGGCATTCTTTGTAAAATTTCGAAAATGTCATGTACGGGTATACATTTTTTCAAACGATTACGAACTGAGAAAAAGTTATGAGTATTTATGTTTGCTCTCCCTTCAACCCTTACTAAATTATGGAAATATTTACTATATCTGCCGTCGCTTAATTGAATTGTTCCCTTCATTTCCCCTGTAATTGCCGTCATGACTGTTGACCTCGCGGCTGTTGAAGTCAATGTTGTTCACGTCGTGATCGTTGACGTCTCGATTGCTGACCACGGTAATGTCTACTCCCGTGACGGTTTAGTCCGTGATAGTTTACCGTGTGATAGTTCAACCCACGACAGTCTGCCTCTTTACAGTTTACCGTGTGACAGTTTATCACGTGATAGCTTACCTCTTTACAGTTTATCCTGTCACAGTTTATTACGTGATAGCTTACCTCTTTACAGTTTATCCTGTCACAGTTTATTACGTGATAGCTTACCTCTTTACTTTACAGTTTATCTCTTTATGACAGCAAATTACGTGATAGTTCACCCCGTGTTTTCTCCCCCGGTTGTTAATGCTCCTGCATTGCAGATGCGCGGACGGGTACATGGGGCAGCGGTGCGAGTATAAGGACCTGGACGGATCGTACCTTCCTACAGGAGACAAGGTGCTGCTAGAGACCGCGTCCATCGCGGGGGGCGCAGCGCTCGTCATCATCCTTGTTTTCTTCGGCATCTTCTCTGCCTTTGCCCTCAAGAACAAACGCTCGCAGCACAAGTAAGATGGCAGTGTGTGCTTGATGTTTGTCTTGATGTATGTCTTGCCTGGATGCTTGTCTTGATGTATGTCTTGTCTGGATGCTTGTCTTGATGTATACGTATCTTGTCTGGATGCTTGTCTTGTCTTGATGTATATGTCTTGTCTGGATGCTTGACATTTATATAGGAGCTAGAAATCCACTGTGATATTTGCCACGATTCTCGTCGGGATCTGTCTTGACGTTAATCATACTACTTCATCGCGTTGGTTAATACGATTTGATTTCCGTATTTTATTTTAACAATTCTCTGCTAACAGAGATGAAATATAGGTACTCTGTTAGCAGAGGTTACCACATCAATATGCACTGAATGATACCTAAAGCTAACAATGAAAAATGTACGAGTACAAAGTACGAGGGAGATGAAAGCACTGTTGTACTGGCATATAAAAATCTATGACACCCTCAAACAACGCCTGGATCAACAGCGCTGATGGTGATGACGCTTTCCGATATTGTCAACACCACACAGTCACCACAGACTCTCACCACGACATCTCGTCGCAGTCATCACCCGATTCTCCTGCCATGTCACCACACTGTTTGGTGTACGTGAACGTTAATCCCCGCAAAGATGGGGATGTGGACCCCAAAGACTGGGGTTCTCCTGATCGTGTTGTGAGGAGCGTGACGACCATCACAGACCTCGCTGAAGTCTATCCCGGCCGTCAAAAGGTGACATAAGTTATTGTTATTGTTGTTTTAAATGAAAAAGTGGTCACGATCCCAATTTTTTACTCGAAATGGAAGATAATCAGTTTATATTTTTGTACGTAGCTTTGTTTTTGTTGTTTTAAATGAAAAAGTGGTCACGATCCCAATTTTTACTCGAAATGGAAGGTAATCAGTTTTTAAATTTTTGTACCTACGTAGTCAGCCAAAGTCGATTCAATAGACTGTATCTTTTAAAGTAATCGGAGAATTCTATATGCTCGGTATGTTTGCATTCTTGTCTTCAACACAATTGAGCAAAGTCTAATTAATATCTCCTTTGATACATGAAAAAGAAAACGTCAAATAAGTTCGCCAAATCTTCTTTGAAAACGTTTTCAATCCATGTCATCTATTCAAAAACTTAAAAAATACTACTGTGATCAATCATGAAATTTCTTCTGTAGGTATTAATTTTTTTCGATTGATTATACTCGTGTAGTCAAGTTTGGTACCAATGACTGCTATTTGAAACGTTTTCCATGAAGTATTGATATTACTTGACGTTTTCTTTGTTCTAAAAAATTTTAGACGCTATGTATTTTCGACTCTAATCAGTTTACGACTTTCATATCTTTGGAGTCACCTCGACTAATTCCTAAACATTTTTGCATACACTGACTGATGTTAATGCACTGTGCAGACTGTGCACCGAGTAAAGGTGGTGCAGGAAGTGGACTTGCTGAACTGCGATGAAGTCGCAAGCAAGACCTCCTTGTCTCCTTACGCCCCCAAGTCCTGTGAAGCCAACGGATCCTTATTTCAGCTCCCTGTTTATGAAGCCTCGACTACCTCTTCCTCGTTCTGGAAACGCTTCAAAATCTCTCCGTATTTTTTCACTCCAACTGCCGACCGTAAACAATTGCTTGCTGGCGATTCAGGTAACCGAAAATATTTTACTCGCGTTGTCAGCAGCACGGAGATTGAAAGTCCTCCTGATTCTTATTCCCCACCCTGGTACACCTCCACGTCGAGCCCTCGAGAGTGTTCGCCTATTCCGCATCCGAACAATTCACAAATTCATTCAGAATCTACTGCCTCTTCATGCCAGTCACCTTCCAAATTTGAATCTCCCAATCCGTTGCCTGCAGTTCATTCTCCGTGCAGAAAGGCAACATCCATTCAAGGCAGTCTTAACGCCGCCTATACTTCAGATGCTAACGAAGCGTGAAGGTTTTCATCTGTTTTCAACACAGAGTTTCGTTGATGTCTTTCTGCAACTCATTGCTTCGAAGTCATTGATTTAGTTTCTCTAGTTATCTCTAATGGATAAATAATCTCACTCGATCGTATAGCCTCACGGGTCTCCTCCAAGTGAGACGTTCACACGTCGTTTCCTCTTCGCCATTCTGAGCTGAGTAGACCTTATTCGACGTGGACGAGAGGCTTTGTTAATGTATGAACCCAATATGTCCAGTAGCTCAAGTATAGCCTCACGAGTCTCCTACAAGTGAGACGTTCACGTGTCGTTTCCTCTTCGCCATTCTGAGCTGAGAAGAGCTTATTCGACGTGTACGAGAGGCTTTGTTAATGTATGAACCCAATATGTCCAGTAGCTCAAGAGAAATAGAAGGATCCAAGACGATTCTGGCTGTGGGCCACAAGATTCCATGATTAATTTGTTCAAATTCCTTGTAGCGCAAGGTATTCGAAGTTATTTTTAATTAATTAAATCCCCACACACTATTTGAAAGTCGAAACTGTTTCTTGAAAACGTCATTGAGGCGAATCTTCGAGGGATTTAAGAAATGCTGTGTTTCCCTGTGGGGAAGGTGTGGAGGATATCAAATTTCCCAACAACGAATGAATTTTGTGCTCTGTTAATGTGAGAGATTCTTCAGTTTTGAATTTGTGTATATTTTTCTGTACGTATCCATGATCTTATTTCGTTCATCTTCGTTTCGGAATTCAACTTCAGAATGGGAAATCGTAAACTTACTACGAGGTTAGGAGTTGAATGAAGTATGAACTAAGGAGTATGAATGTTTTTCTTTTGTTGTTGTTGTCATTACCTACTAAATGTAGACTCGTTGAGGGGCTAAACTTGGCCGGATCTCTCATGAGATTTGTTCGAGCCAATCCAGTGGCCATGCCATGCCATTGGAAATATGGAAAACAATTAGGGATTTTGTATTCCATATCCAGAGAATTGAAGTATGATATTCCTATGGGATGACGACGCTCTTGTTATCTTGAATAATATAAAATGGCTTACAATTCTGCGACGAGAACAGCTGGTCTGTCTGAAAAAGAACTTTATGCTTTGATCTACGGTTCACATTTTTGCCAAATTTTAAAGTAAATTCGAAATAAGTATATTAGTATTTTTTGTAGAGATGAAATTTTCCTCTTATACCTTTTCCTTGTAGTCTTTGCATTGGATTCCCGGGAATATTCATAATGATTTCATTATTACCGAGGATGAAGATGAAACTTGTACAAAACCTTCGTTGTTAATTTATTTGCCAGATATCCTCTATGTTTGGGATTATTATCATGGTATTCCCGCCCTATTTATTTTCGCTAGTACGTCCTAACGTTCTGATGGCAAACTAAAATATTGTAACAATATTTCGAAACAGGATAGGAAATTTCTGCTACACCAGGAATCCAGAGATTTCAGCGTTACAATATATTATCGTAACTTCAATGTTAGACAATTTAAATAGATTGCCTCGCTTTTTGTTCACTAATCGTGTACAGTTTCTTTGTATTGAGCCGAAATACCGATTATTTTCTGGGAACGTAATTTAATTTGTTTCTGAAGTTACGCTTACCGATTTATGGTTGATAATAATTTCATTGAAGTTATTTTCAAATTGTTATCATGGCCTCTACTTGCACTATGTCTGGTTTTGTTGATCTTGTTTTTGAGTCGTAAGATTAATATACTAAATTTTTGCAATGACGAACTAGGCTTCAAACCTAATCTTCTATTCATTATTCTCAAATGTGAAGTGCTCATATATAATCGTCAATTGTTTCGTACACTTTCTATGGTTATTGTTTTCAAAATTTTGCTTCTTCTCAAGAAATGCATCTTGCGATGTCAAGAAAATAAAAAAATGATATAAGAAATAATATATATTAAAAACAAGTTGACGTTTTTAATTTGTTGCACGTATTTAAGCGCTTTTTTCATACTTAAAATTATCTTACGAAGTTATTATTACAGTCAGCAAGATTTCAGTACTAGTAACCGCTTGTTTGTGTGTTGTTTTGAAACGCAACTTTCTTGTAATAACTCTTGTGAAATTTGAGTAATCAGTGAATCATTTTCATTGTGCTATACCATACAACGAAGCCTGAATGTGATGACACAATACAACGAAGACTGTATGTTGTACAAAGATTTTTCCCGCACTCAACTTGATCTTAATTTCCCGTGCGTAGTACTTTGGTCCACTGATCTGGGAACGGTGATCGTTAATAGGTATACATTTTCTCGGCCCATTTCTTGACTTTGAATTTATTTATTGAAAATGGACTCGGTGGCGGATTATGTAACGCTCGTCAAATTTTTGTGCCTAAGCTTTTATTTCGACAATTTTTCTTCCTTTGATCGTGTTTTTGTAGTAAATTTTTGATAGCGGGCACGGTTTTGGGGTTTGTTGTAAAAAGAATTTGTGCATTAGGTTGGGAGAAAAAATCTAGAATATTGTTGAAATAAGAGTTTCCTTGGTGAAAAAGTCTTGTATTCTCTGAAGAACACGGGTAGCGTAGATGTATTTAATTAAACATCACAGGATTCGAATTGGTTTCAAGGAAAATGGCGATAGCCCGTGAGGGAGTGTATCAAGAAGCGTTGTCATTTTTTAACTACCAGAAAATTAAACCCTTGAATATTTATTGTGAGAGAACATCCGTGATCATGCAGTGCTGGCTTCGGGTTTACTGGATGATAGCTCAGCATTTAAGTCGTAAAAAATTGAATGGACCTTCAGAGCTCTGTAGTCGCCATGTGGTGTACAAAGCACGTAAATACTACAGTGATCTATTAACTTTTCAACCATGGACGAACTTTAGTACATGTGCGCTTGTCCATCTGACAATTTCTCGTGTAGATAGCGACAGTTTCAGCTATTTCGCCATTGTTACTAAGATGCCGACCCTTTGCTTTTAGCATAGATCATTGCAGTCGGCTTTGCTGTTGCTCCTAAAAATCGAATTGTGCAGATATTTTTTGTGACTGTTATTGAAAGAAGGCAAGAGTCTTCGTATAGCCTGCTGCGTTCTTAGTGATAGTGCTGACACATCCGTAATTGTATTTAAAATGTGTGCACTATTTCACAACTAAGGCACGGAGCCAGTCCCATGTAGGGTGATGTAGAAAAATGTAATGTAAAAAGAAGCACTAATATTTATTTCCTAAAATTCAACTCCGTGTTTACTACTGCGCTTCTGTGCCTTATGCATCCGTTGATTGCTGTTAGTGCATTCAGAATTTTTAGGACTTTGAGGAACTTCCTTTACTGAATATCATTTAAGGATTGATACATTTGTGTTGAATAATAAAACATTGTTCGTAGATGTGAACGTTTTCGATAAACAGCGGTCTCCATTTTTTTTTCTCTTATATACGGATTTATTTGTTCTCATTTTATTGCTTGAAAGATTGGATTCATCGGCGTTTAGGCCGGCGATTGTCTGTTTAACTGAAGATTCTGTTTAAACCGAGGATTGCCTATACTGAAAATTGTTTATCTAGGATTGTCTGTTGATGCAGTTCCTATTATTGATGTTCGTAGAGCCTCTTCTGCACGTATTGCCAGAAGGGCATAGCGCAAACTTCGGGGTTTGTTGCTTACTTAACTTCCGGGCTCGTCGCCATTGTTGTGGAAGTCCCATCAGACATTAAAGCTTGCACTGCGAATGAAAAAAAAACTTTGTTCCAGCCAGTCAGTTTTGTGGCAGAGGAATAAGTTACTGAATTACGTTCTTAAGCTGTCACAAAGGCTCGATGTTCTGCAGCGACCGTTTTGTCCCTATAATAATTAATCTTATACATGATGATGATATTTTTGTGTTAATGTATTGCAGGAGATGATCTCGATAACTAATAGGGTTAAGAGTGTCTCTTAAGGAGTCCCAGTTAATAGTTATGCTAAAAATTCATGAATAAGATATGCTATTGTTATGTATGATACGTCGACAGCGAAGTCGTATCGCCAGCACGGCCTTAGCTCATACTATGCATTTTCTTCTCAATTCTTAAGTAAGATTCCTCTTGTAATATTTCCTTCCTATCTGGTTTGTTACTTGTAAATTAATAGTACATTTATGTGGTAAAGAATTTCATTTGATCGTGAATAGCATTAAATAGTCTAATCATTATGTTATACCTCCATTTACTGTGTACATAGATAATACAAATTACCAATAGTATACTCGTAGCAATTTCCCTTGTACACGAGTACTTTACCACGACTTTGAAGGAACATAAATAGTAGCAAGCGTGGAAAAAATATATTAGCAAAAGGAAATCGAATACATTATCATCCTGGAGCTGCAGGTTGGTGTATTATCGCCAAATATGCACGCTGGCGACACGATTCTCACAAACATTTGCTATATTTAACTGCATAAAGTAAATCGCAATTGAGGTATAATACTGTAAAATGAACATTAAGTAGGACACCTTAACCCCGTCTCCAAGTAGTTGTGATAATTTAGCATCAATTTTTCCAACCGATAGGCAATTGCGGCATTTAAGTATGATAGGAAACAATAATTATAACGTATCAACCCCATTCTTATTGATAAGCAGTCTCGGGATGATAGTGCCCCTTGAAATCTCAGTTGCAGCGACAAGCAGATGCTCCGCATCGGTACGTATAGAAGTGTGTAATTAGCATCCGTTATTGAAGTTCACACAAGTGGGAGTGTGTAATTAGCATCCGTTATTGAAGTTCACACGAGTAGAAGTGTGTTAATTAGCATCCGTTATTGAAGTTCACACGAGTAGAAGCGTGTAACTAGCATCCGTTATTATATAAGTTTACACGTATGAAAGTATAGAAATAGCACCTTTCGCATGCACAGTCATCAAAAGTTACAAAATTATTCTACTCTTATAAGTAGAAAAGGCAATGTAAACTTATGTTAATAACATTAATTGGCAGACTTTATGTTAAAAAAAATTGACAAGGCAATTAAATAATGATACCTTGCAAGAAAAAAAAAATTCACGTAGAATTTAACTTTGGGCCCGCGGATACAGGAAATGAGCTGTGGATTGATGAGCAAATTAGGAATAAGGATCCTTAACGATAAATTAGACCAAGGATTCTTCGAACATGTTAACATATTTCGATATAGTAGTTCTTGTGAATATACCGTAGTAACAATTTTTCTAACTAAGGCGTTGAATATTCCGCATGAACACCAAATTTATATTCGAGACGCATTAGGC